AGATTTTTTTTAAAAAATTCAGGTTTGGGTTCGGGTCGGGTCAGATGGGGATGAAGGGTGAAAAAACTCCGACCGAGGATAATAATGTAATTTTCTTTAAAAAATTTAATATTATTTTAATTAAATCCTTATTTTATACTGGGTCGGTTTGGTTCGGGTCGTATTAATAATCTAAATAACCGGGTCGGTCGGAGTCGGGTGAATGATATATATTTTTCAAGTCGGGACGGGTCGGGTTTACCAAAAACTCGACACGTTGCCATCCCTAAATACATTAGGTTTTTTGGTCACTGAACATTACTCTCTTTCCTATTTTGGTCACTCCCTCGTTAGATAATTAACGATGTTAAAAACGACATTGTTTTGAATTATATATTTTGACCAAAACAACGTCATTTTATATCTATATAACATCAATTTTTTTTCTTTATTGTTTATTAAATATTTTTATTGTTTATTTTGAGGGTTTGTAAATGTCCTCTAATTATATAGTTACCATCCATGTTTTGTCATAACTATTAACGTGTTTTCACTATTTTTCTTATTTCATTTTTTTTTAATTTTTTAGTCACTTTAGTTTTTTTTGTTTTTTTATTTAATTTTTTTATTATTTTATGAGAAAAATACACAAATGATCCTTGACTATAAGACGCTGATTTGGTGTGTCTCAGACTATTAAAAGTTACAAAATTATTCATTTACTATAAGACATTGATTTGCTGTCTGTTGAGTCTCTTAACTACTAAAAGTTACAAAATGGTCACTCGACTATTCATATATTCCAAACTAGTGATTTTCTGTTGAAAAATTGACGATGATATGAGTTGCACGCTAACTTGCTGACTGTGATACGATAAAGTCTGATCCCAAAATCTCAAATGACTATAGTATCTCAGTCAACAAATTAATGTCCAACTCATATTGTTATAAACTTTTTAACAAAAAAGGATGAGTTTGAAACATATGCATAATCAGGTGATCATTTGTAACTTCAGGGACTCAATAAAGCAATTTCCTATAGTTAAGGGACTATTTTATAACTTTTAATAATTGGGGACTCAACAAAGTAATACCATATAATCGAGAAACCATTCTGTAAATTTAATAGTTGAAGGATTCACAAAAAGAACATCCCATAGTTGGGGACTCAATAAAGCAATACCATATAGTCAAGAACTATCTATGTACTTTATCCTCATTTTATTTAGGGTTAGTTATTGGATTGGCCACTTTGTTTTATCAATGGTTTAGATTGTTCTAAATGTAAAAACAATACTTTGAATATTGACTCAAAGCAGAATGAAGTTGAAATTGTTGAAAATGAGTTGGTCTCAATTCCTATAAATTTTAAGTGGGTTTTATCTTCTTTGCCCATTTTAGAATTCCCTATTGGGCTTTTTTTATGTATTGAAAATATCTTGCCATTCATTAAAAATTGGGTAAATTACGCGTTCAACATCTAAATTATTAGTTTTGATATGTTTTAGTACCTAAATTTTAAAAAAAATCATACCTAAAGTTTAGTTTTTATTTCATTTTAGTGATATGCTCAAAATTTAACGTTAAGTTTAAAAAAAATGAAAGTTTATGTACTAAAACGGACAAAACTGATAGTTTAAGTACTAAATGCGTTCATTCTTGTTGAGAGACATTCAATTCCTTTTAAAAGTTGATCGAATATCATTAATAAAATAATTGGAAAAAATATATAAAATATGCATGGACCAAGTAGCCTCCATGTTAAAGGAATTGTTGTTGTTCGTTGAGGACTCGGATTCGAGCATCACAGATGCTAGGGTGTAAGCGTTCAATGTGTAAAGGTTGAAAGTTTTCTTTGAACAAATATTATCTTGTACTTAACCTAAATTAATCAATATATATATATATTATATATATATATATATATATATATAATTTTCGAATAATGATTGATCTATAAAATCAAAAATCTCTTTAAAAAGGGAATAACAAACAAATATAGAAGACATGAAACTAGAGAAAATTTAAATAATTATATAGTAATTAATTTAACTATATAACTAATAATAATAATAAATCATTGGTTATATATTAGTGGGTAAATTACGAGTTTTGTACCTAAATTATAAGTTTTAGTTTATTTTAATACTTAAACTTTCAATTTTTTCAAAACCATATATAAAGTTTAATTTTTCTTTTATTTTAGTACCCGGTGTATTACTCGTCGTCATTCACAAAAATATTAGTACTAAAATATTCACAATTCATGATTTTTCTTTTCATCATATTAGTTTTTAACGAAACCAACTTAGAATCGACGAAGATTCATCTAAATGTTCAACGTTCTAATTCTCTGATCTCCTTTAAATAGCGTCCGATTAAACTAGTTTCAAGGTATATTATTCTTATTCTCGAAATAATATATCTTATAGTTAATATTTTCATACACACACCCTATAAATCTCAAATTTTAAAAAGCCTTCAATCCCCTAAATAATAATTTTGCATTTTATTTAATGAAGTTTTAAAAGGTTTTGAGAATATTTAAATGATAAATTATATAGGACGGTGAAACGAGTAAAAGACATAAGAGAATGATAATTTACGATAACGGTTAAAATTTGATAAAAAAAAACTCTAAATCTGATGAAAACAATAACGACATAAAATAAAAAAAAATATTTTAAATTATCACGTCAACACAAAATTATTACGCCATCTAATTATTAATAATTAATAACCCATGTTTAAAAATTCAATGATATTTGATATATATATATATTCACACACGTGAAAAATTATTAGTTTTAGTTCATTTTAGTACTTAAAATTTTATTTTTTTTAAACCACACCCAACGTTTAATTTTTATTTCATTTTAGTACCCTTGTCGTTAAAAACTTAACACGTTTAGTAACTAAACTATTGGTTTTGATTCGTTTTAGTACCCAATTTTTCAATTTATTTCAAAGCTCAACATTAAGATTTTAACGGGTATTAAAATGATACAAAAACTAGACGTTAAATATGATTATGAGAAAAATAAAGTTTAAATATTAAAACAAATAAAAATTAATAGTTTAAGTACTGAACTTGTGGTTTACCGAAAATGTTAATTGAAAGTGAGAGGGAGCAAAGGGATGCAGCTTTACGTATATTGGTGAATTTGTTTGGAAAAATGCTGGCTTTGAGGAGTCATCTATTGCTTGGAACGAGGCCCCGAAGTTCCAATACACCCAAGTGCGACTTAATTAATTCCCATTCATTTTTTATGCTTTAACCTTAAACACAGCTTGAGATTTGTATTTTGCCTCTTGGGAACAACTTGTGGGATTTTGTTTTCACACATACTCAAGCTCAAAATATCTTTCACTTTTTATTGTTTAATTATTCCGATACGAGTAAATAATAGAATAGTTTTGGATGATTATAAGTTGATATATGTTCATAAGTATCTTAATTTATCGATAATGCATTAACATCCTACAGACACTACTGCTCGAACTCGATATCCCTAAAGATATCAATACATTTACAACCGTCTCCACTAGAAAAATGTATCTATTTAATAGCTTTGTTGTCCCTCCTCTAGACTTTCTTCTCCTTCTGCAAATTTTGGGGTTAAAGTATTTTTGTAATTTTTAATAGTTGAGTGAGCTCATCAAAACAATAATCTATAATCAGAGGATCATTTTGTAACTTTTTAATGGTTAAGAAACTTAATAAAGTAGTATCCTATAATCAAATGATCATTTGTATAATCAAATAGGCTCATGATTTCTGTTACAAAATAATTTGTTTTGATAAAAATTATTCGATCATTTTTAATTTGATCGAATAAAATCGAGATATTATAACACTTTAGACCTATCTGTAAGGGGAGATATCGTCCTTTCTGTTTGTTAACCTATTAACGATCCCAATAACATCCCCTTCGATATTGCAAATCGAAGGGTTTTTTGTCCATGAGGGCAAGTGGGTTTTTTTTATAATTTATTTAGCCCATTAAGGTAATCAACTTTTTATTTTAGAAAATACAATAATTGCTATAGTGATGCTGGAATTTATTACATCGAAGTGACGAGTTTCAATAAAAAAATATTTTTTTATCTAAACTCGTCATCTCGAGATGATGAGTTATAATAAAATATAATTTTTTTATTAAAATATACTTTTTTTATTAAAATATAATTTTTTATTAAAATTTATCATATCGAGATAAAAAGTTCGAATATTTTTTTAACTCATCATTTAAACATGACGAATTTCAAGTTACTGTATAAAATACCATAGATCTCAAAATAAACTTCTACTTACCTTATTAGATTAAATAAAAAAACCCGTAAATTGTACTGGGACAATTTCACCCGAATCGGAGTCCATAAGTGAAGTCAACCCATTCAAATGCCATAATAGGGGCCCGGAAAGTTTTGCCTAAAGGGACAGAACTTTGAACTCAAACACATTATCCACGGTCCATTTATTTGCAGACTTGTGCAGTCCATTTACATTTCCAATTCTCCTCTTGTTCCTTCAACTTTGAAAAAAAAATTAATGCGATATTCATATTGTTTTTTTAATGTAAAACTCTAACTTAGAAAATAAATTTAATTTGATCATTTGATCAACGTATTTTGATATTAACAGTTACGATACTGATGTGACGGTTCATCTGTCATATTTTTTAATTACCGTGAACCTCTATGTCAATACTATAACAGTCTATAATAAAAATATTGCTCAAAGGATCATATTAAACTTATTTTCTAAATTGAAAGATTACATTAAAAGAAAAATAATACAAGGATCACGTTAATCTTTTTTTAAAAGTACACGGAGCTATGATATTTTTTCTAATAAAATAAATCAAATTTTGTTGCAGAATAAACAAATGGTCCAATTACACTTGTCATTGTATCAAACGGCCAACGCGGCAATTCAAAAGCTTCCAACGTCCACCTTCACTTTCCCTCTCGATATGTAATCTTGTTTTGAAATTCCACCACTTGATAAATGGCGAAACTCGATTTCTTACTTAAAAAAGATCAAAATTCAAGATTGTTTCCTACTGGTGATTGCTTAGGGCTTACATTTAGGCCTTTTGTCATCTAATTCCATACCAATTAGCTTATCAATCAGATCTTTTATACACGCAACAAAACGCTCCTTTTTTTTAATATTTTTTTCGTCGTCGTTCCGGCCATGGAAGAAGCCGGTTCAGCTGACATCATGCTGCCACCTTCATCGGTTTCTCTTTCTCTGTTCTCTCCTTGCCCTCGACGCCTTTCATCCAGCTTCGCCCGGCCGAGTCGGCCGGTTGTTCATTCCTCCGGGCGGCTGGCTTGGTTTTCCCTCCAGGGGCGCCTCTTGAATGCCGAGGAAGCCAGCTCGGCTCGAGCTATAGGAGGTGGTTTGGGCCGCGAGGAGGCTTTCGCCTGGGAGCTCTTTAGTCCCATCGAAAGGTTCCTGATCGTGGCGGTGATCGGCGCGGCGAGTGCTGAGTCTAAGAAGAATCGGTTGATTTGCCAACTCAAAAAATGGGTCGAGCTAAGGGTTTGTTTTCTGGTTTTCTGTTTAATTTCATTAGGAATTCCACTTCAAAAATAATAGCGCTACACTGTTACTCTATTGGGTTTTCTTATTCATTAATCTATGGAGTTTTAGTGTTCAATCAATTCACAATTATTTTGTTGTTAGTCTAGAGAAGTTTTGATTCCGTTATGTATGGTTAAGAACATATATAGAGTGTTAAATTCCTTGTAGTTTCTTGTATCAGTTACAGATATATTTGCTTAGGTTAATTACTTTGTAACAGTTTATTAGTTGCTGAACACTTCAAATTCAGATTCAGATGTCTTGGATTTGATCATTTTGCTATCAATGTGTATAAGAAACTCATCTCCCCTGTTGATTTTTTATTCGAAATCGAACTTTTGGTGAGCCATTTATGTGCAGAATTGTCCTGATAAAATTTTATATTAATGGATTTACAGGATGAGGTGCTTTCAAGCATGCAGCAGAAGGTAGACAATCTATGCGAACAGCTGAATAACACCAAGGAGAAGCCGGGAACATGGGCCAAAACCGATTTCGAATCATCATCGAGTGAAACTTTCGGGTCCGGGAGTGTGCAGGTTGATGATTGTGGTTGTTGGATTTGCTATCATCATCGAGATCAGTTTAAAGTAAGAAGTTGCAAATAAACTATCTTCCTTTGTCACTCGATCGAACTGATTTTATTCCCCCTTGTTTATCGATGTGTTAGGGTAACTACATAGTGAAGAACTTGGGTGGGGGAGAGACGGAATTGCCAACCGAGACGGAACATGAGGAGCGCCGCATGTCTGATTTGTCGGACTGGGCTTCAAGTGTCACATCTGCATCTGAAATCCAGGTGATGGAGCATTTGATTTATGTCTTTCTTATTGCTGAAATCCGGTTCATGTTCATTGCCAATGGCTTCAACATTTCTTTAGTTTGATGTTGTGCATGCTCTTGTGCAGCTGAACAACCTTGCCGTAGAACAAGATGTGTTCAATCTTAAGAGGGAATGCGAAGAGAAGGATGCGATCATAAAGGAGCTAAACACTAGTGTCCAGTCATCCAATATGGCTAGTTTGAAGGTAACTTTCATTTTTTGTTCACCTTCTTCACTTTCTAAACTTTGCCCTTCAGTTTCTTCGAGTGTGAACGATTTCTGATAACAGAGGATATCGGAGTTGGAGGATATTATACACAGAAAGAACATGATGATTACTCGATTGAAGAAGGACATGGTGTTTCTAGAACAAAAGGTGAGTACTTCTTTGCTAATATCCAGGACTGATAGTTGCATAATCCTGAATTTTCAATCATGCAGGTTGTCCACATGACTAGGCTTCAGAGACCTTCCTACTCTACCTCAAGCCCAAACTATTGGCAAGTTCCATCCATGACAGATAACCTCCTTTACGACATGGATAGTACCACTAGTCCTTCCTCGTCCGATTCCGATTCGCCCCCAATGAACCGTCCGCAAGCTCCGGTTTCCAATGTCGAGGAAGTTAGTTTCCAGAATGATGATGACATTGATTTAAAGAGAGAACAGAAATCAGCACCTACAAAAGTACCAAGCTCTTTTACGAGACAAAGCGAATGTCGTCCGATGCCGGAACCGGCAACTCCGTTAAGGGAAATATCGATGAATCACAAGTCTAAACAACCCTATTCGAGGCATAGGCAAGTATCGGCTAGTCAAGATTCAAAGAGAATTAAGAAGCAAACTCCAAGTGTGCCGAAAGATTCTATCCCGAGGAAAAGATGGTCTTAGTAAGTAATTAGAAACATGGATGGACATGGAAGCATGATCTTATATTAGAGGCAAACAAACTTGAACTTAATGAGTAACTTGAATTTATAAAATTTCGAAAATAGATTTTCAATAAAAAATTCATAAAAAAATTCTAAAATATATAATAATCTTAAACCTTCGTGCTTAGAAACTTGATGGTTTAATAGGCTTTAAGTAGCCATTTGAGTCTCTGTCCTTATACTTTGTTTCTAAAGGTTATAAATTTTAATACATAAAATGTTATGAGTATATTTTTTCTATATAACTATCGATATTTGATTTATGATTAATTATTTTTAATCAGTAATTATATAAATCTATTATCGGATTACTTGGTCAACATAAACTTTTTTGTTGATGATACTATAATTTAAATTCTTGACCTCACTTAATAAATTGGATAAAGTACACAAATGATCTACCGATTATAGAATATTACTTTATTAAGTCCCTCAACTATTAAAAGTTTCAAAAATGTCATTCAACTATAGAGTGTTGTTTTGTCGAGTCATTCGATTATTAAAAGTTACAAATTGGTCACCGGACTATTCATTATGTTCTAAACTCATCATTTTTCGTTAAAAAATGGACGATATTCTGAGCTGAACGTTAACATGTTGACTGTGATATGATAAAATCTGATCATAGAATATCAAACAACTATCATATCCAGTCATCATGTTAACGTTTAGCTTAAACAACTGCCAATTTTTAACGGAAAATGACGAGTTTGGAACATAATGAATAGTCGGCTGACTATTTTATAACTTTTAAGAGTCGAGGGGCTTAACAAATTAACATTTTATAATCGAAAGATGATTATGTAACTTTTAATAGTAGAAAGACTTAATAAAGCAGTACTCTATAGTCAAGGGATCATTAGTGTATTTTATCCTAATAAATTTAACATCTCATCCCCAATAGATCAATTTATTATGGATTACAAATATATTTAATGGATAATTAATCTCATGGTCATGGAGAATATGTCGTTATTATTTCGATCTTATTATATTTCAAGTTTTAATATATAAATAAATAAAGTAAATAAGGAATATTAAGAGAAATTTAGTATCTTTTATTAATTTTTGCTTAAATGCTCAATCCTTTAATTTATCTAAATTTAAAGAAAATTTAAGGAAAGTAAAATGAAAATATTTTTTAAGAATATATTTTTGTACCATTATTTTACGTAAATTACTTTATTTTGTTAATAAAGAATATAAATTACTTATGGAAATATTGAGTTTAGGCAATTATCCTTATTTTATATATTTTCTCACTAAATTGATAATTTTCAACTTCTTATCGTAATAATTAATTTGCAAATTTATTTCTTTATTTATTATTTTAAAAATTATACATATATATATACCCACACACGCATTTATATAGTTCAGTTTTAGCCAAAGTTTTATTGCAGTTTGGTGTGCCAATTGAAAATGGCGTCTAACCCTAAGAACAACTTGTGGAAGAAGTTGGTTTCATCACTTCAGTCAAAGATGAAACTTCTGAAGAGACCCACGACCCACCAAACCGTCACCGATCACCATAGTCGAAAACAATCGAAGCCGAAAACAATCTTGTTCGTGAACGATACTGCTTTCGCCAAACTCTCTTCGGATGGCGTCATTGATCTCGACATGGGGAAAGAAGTTGCCCCACGTAAGGTTACTGCCAGAAGGGAGCAACTCGCTCGTACAACTACGTTCGAGATCGAATTTTCTAGCGGCAACGACGACGGTAAACATGAAAAACCGAAGGGTCGAAGCGATGATGACTGCATTCCGTCGTCGAACGAAATCGATGAAAAAGCTGAGGAGTTCATCAACCGGTTCAAGGAGGTTTGGAGGCTCGAGAAACAGAAGTCGGACGAGGAATATTTTGCGATGTTGGCTCGTGGTGCATAATTCAAGGTTTAAATACGAGCAACATGAAAAATATGTTTAGAATTTTATTAAAAAAATCGACATTTATTTAAGTCGATTGAATTCGAATAATTATATTTAGTTTTAAGAGCAAGAGTTTTACTAAAATCAAACTACAATATATGAAGTTTTTCCCCCTGTTTCTTTAGTAGTTATTTTTGTATAATAAATAAGTATATAATGAATTTATGAAAACTAAGTTAAAAAGGTGTATATTGTTATATTGAATTAAAATCAAATTCATTTATAGTTTTAAAACCACATCCCTTAATATATATAGGCAAAAGTATACATGAGGCCCTGTATTTGTTTAAAAAAACTAATGTAGCCCTCGACATTCTTTTGCATTCAATGTGATGCTCGAACTTATAAAAAGAATCCGTTGTGACCCTTTGAACGATGGTTTTCGTCGTTGACCGTTACAATATTGATGTGACACTTCACGGTTCTAATGTAACGATCCACAATGCTAATGTAGCAGTTCACAGTGGTTGGTGACATGACTAACAAGCTAAAGTGATCATATTAGACTCCTTTTATAAGCTCGGGGGCTACATTGATTTCTTTTAACAAGTACAAGGTCTCATGTACCCTTTTGCCTATATATATATATATATATATATATTGCTATTTTCCTTCTTTTTGTAATTTTAATGGAAATTTCATAATGGCCAAAATTTTTATAATAAATTCAAATCGTTTCCTTTTTCCTTTTTGGCCAAATAAAAAAAAGTAACAATATATATATAATTTAAATAAAATGATAAAATTTATATAATTTTAAATAATATTACATTCACCCCAAATTCGAGGGATATCGTTTTAATATCAAAATCAAGTTGTATTTTTTTCCTATTTTTGTTGAATTTCCTCTTAATTTTAGTTTAACTATTTTATTTTTACTGATATCAAACCCAATTTTATAGCTACTCTAGTACAAAAAAATTACCCAATTTACTTATCGATTTGAACAAAAAATTATTTTAATGTCATGTGTTTGATTTTGATGGGTTGAAAAGGAAAAAAGTATCAAATTTTGGTTAACAAAATAAGGTGTTAGATGATTTAATAATATGATGTATTAATTTTTTTTAAATAAAAGCATAAATATAAATTTTGATATTTATAAATATAAATTAATTAAAGAAAAGATATTCTATAATAGACCTTTATAATATCCTATTGAAAAGATGATTTTATAATATCTTATTAAAATTATAAATAAGAAAAAAATAATAATATATGATTTACTTAAGTGATAAATATAAAGTTAATGATTTTTAGTTTATAATTCAATAATAATAATAACTATTTTTTTTTATTAAGTTAATGTGATTACAAAGTAATACATGTTTTAAATACTCTCAACCATTTAACAATGAACGCTCAATTACTCTACTACAATTACTGGCACTCAAACTCGTAATTTCTAATAACAATAGCAATTCCTTTAACCATAATTTGGTTCGTGCTAATAATAATTAAATTGTAAATTAATGATAATAATAATAAGGATAAATTATGTGTTTATTATCTAGATTATTAGTTTTAGTCTATTTTAGTACCTAAATTTTTATTTTTTTCAAAATCATACCTAAAGTTTAATTTTTATTTTATTTTAATATATCTGTTAAAAATTTAACGTTAAATTTTGAAGAAAAAAAATTAGATACTAAATGGAATAAAACTAATAATTAGGTAATAAATGCGTTAAGTTTTTAACGACAGTACTAAAAAAAACTAAACATTATGTGTTTATTATCTAGATTATTAGTTTTAGTCTATTTTAGTACCTAAATTTTTATTTTTTTCAAAATCATACCTAAAGTTTAATTTTTAATTTATTTTAATATATCTGTTAAAAATTTAACGTTAAATTTTGAAGAAAAAAAATTAGATACTAAAATGGAATAAAACTAATAATTTAGGTAATAAATGCGTTAAGTTTTTAACGACAAGTACTAAAATAAAAACTAAACATTAAATATGATTCTGAAAAAATTAAAATTTTAAATACTAAAATAGACTAAAACTAATAATTTAATTATTAAATGCGTAATTTACCTAATAATGATAACCACTTTTTTTTTTATAGTTACCGCTTACAATTCAGATAAAAGGATTCAATTGCACATTGAGGGAAAATCTGATTGCAAATATCACGCGTATGTGATAAACGTGGCAATAACTCTTTATTTTATGAACACTGTAAAATCAAATTCTCTCTCTCTCTCTCCTCATTAATTTTCTGGTAAAACCCTCTCTCCTTCGAGACTTTTTTTTCTGTAATTTATGCTAACGGTAAATCTGCCTCAATCTCCATCGATGAATTCGCCATTTGGGGGACCCAGTGCGTCGAATCCAACCGCCGCCGGAGCCTCGGCGCATAAGGATCGGAAAATGGCAACGGCCGAGCATTTAGTTCTCGATCTCAGCAATCCTGATCTCCGGGAGAACGCTCTTCTCGAACTATCGAAAGTAATTTAATCAACATTGAAAAAAATTCTTTTTATAGTATTTAATTAAATGTTGCTTCTTGTTCGCCTTCTCTTTTGTGTGTTTCGTAAAGTAGGATTTTGATTTAGAGAAAGAAGGTGATTTGGGGAAATTTGATTTTTAAATATTTATCCATCTTTGGTTTTAGAGGAACCCATAGAAACTACATTCAAAAGTGCCTTTTTTATGTTTATATGGATAGGGATGGAAATTGGAATCATCACTTTATCTAGACTGCACCGCAGGAACTAATTCCTCAGGACATTTTTTGTTTGTTTTTGGGTTTATAGATGGTAATAATGGATTCATGAAACGGGTATGCCATATGCATTAATTGTGGGTTTCCATGGTTGGGAAAAAGGCATTAAAAATACTGATCTGATAATGAGAGTTTTTTGGGCTCTAGGAGATGAAGACTATTAAAAGAATGATATTGCTCGGCTGGCGGAAAAGACAATCCTTAGAACAGTTACTATTGGAAGTCTGGGACTGGGTTGAGTTAGAAGATGGTAGAATGTGTTATATATGTTTGATCTAGAGTCTTGATAATTTTAGAATCTTATTGCCAATCTACTCCTTAAAAGAGGGTAGAATTAAGAATGCATTAAATATGTTCCATC